TTAACTTTGTTTAACCCAGTAGTTCCCTAAATTATTAACTAAGAAACTGTGCTGTGCATAAATTCAGTGTAACACACTTTGAAAAATACTGATTTAAAGCATGAGAACATTCGTGTGAACTCATGGGAAGGAAAGGAGAGTGGACTTCTGAGTTTCTGTGTGCATGTTATCACATAGTTACAGGGGTTGAAGTGATGGTTCCAGGCTGACCAAAGAAGAAGCTGTTTACACTCTTGGTCAAATCCTTATCTTTAGAGTTTGAAGAGGTTATTTTATCAGATCACTACAAGCAAACTAGCACAGTAATTGATTTATTCTAAATTAAATCACTTGAGATGCATCCATAAACCAGTATGCCAATGTGGCAATATCCTGAGTGATCAGGAACATGCTCTGGAGTCAAATAGATCCTGCTCAAATCCCAGCTGTCTGACTTACTGCTTATATAACCTTATGTGAGCCTTAGTTCGTTCTCTCTCTCTCTCTCTCTCTCTCTCTCTCTCTCTCTCTCTCTCTCTTTTTCAGAGTTTTGCTCTTATTGCCCAGCCTGGAGTGCAATGGCACATTCTCGGCTCACTGCAGCCTCTGCCTCTCAGATTCAAGTGATTCTCCTGCCTCAGCCTCCTGGATAGCTGGGATTACAGGCATTCACCACCACGCCTGGATATTTTTTGTATTTTTAGTAGAGACAGGGTTTCACCATGTTGGCCAGGATGGTCTCAATCTCTTGACCTTGTGATCCACCCTCCTCGGCCTCCCAACATGCTGGGATTACAGGCGCGAGCCTCCACGCCTGGCCCTTAGCTCTCTTATTAATAAAATATGGACAACGATACTATCTACATCCTGAATTAATCCATATAAAGCACTTAGAACAGGAAACTTTTATTTGAGCAGAGACTCAGAATGTGAAGTTACTATGTCTCATGGTAAATATTTCTAAGCTGTGACAGTATCTAAAGATATAGCCTTCAATATGGTTTGGCTCTTGTCCCCACCAAAATCTCATCTCAAATTATAATCCCCACTTATCAGAAGAGGAGCCTGGTGGAAGATGATAGCTCATGGGGGCAGATTTTTCCCTTACAGTATGGTTTGGCTCTTGTGTCCACCCAAATCTCATCTCAAATTATAATCCACACTTATCAGAAGAGGAGCCTGGTGGAAGATGATAGATAGCTCATGGGGGCAGATTTTTCCCTTGCAGTATGGTTTGGCTCTTGTGTCTACTCAAATCTCATCTCAAATTGTAATCACCACTTGTCAGAAGAGGGCTCCCAAGTGGGAGATGATTGGATCATGGGGGCAGATTTCTCCCTTGCTATTCTTGTGATAGTGAGTTCTCACAAGAGCTGATGGTTTTAAAGTGTGGCACTTCCCCCACTCTCTTTCTTTCTCTCTCTCTCTCTCCTTCCTGCCACCATGTAAGATGTGCCTTGCTTTCCCTTCTGCCATAATTGTAAGTTTCCTGAGGCCTCCCCAGTCATACACAACTGTGAGTCAATTAAACCTGTTTCCTTTATAAATTACTGTCTCAGGTAGTTCTTTCTACCAATGTGAAAAATGGACTAATACAGCCTTACTCTGCCATAGAATAACTTTTTTTTTCTTTGAGATGGAGTTTTGCTCTTGTTGCCCAGGCAGGAGGGCAATGGCATGATATTGGCTCACTGCAAGCCCACCTCCCAGGTTCAAGTGATTCTCCTGCCTCAGCCTCCTGAGTAGCTGAGATTACAGGTGTCTGCCACCATGCCCAGCTATTTTTTTTTGTATTTTTAGTAGATATGGGGTTTCACCATGTTGGCCACGCTGGTCTTGAACTCCTGGCTTCAAGTGATCTGCCTGCTTCTGCCTCCCAAAGTGCTGGGATTACAAGTGTGAGCCACAGTGCCCAGCCTAGAATAACTATTGACTGAAAAATATGGGACTGTGAGCAAACAATGAGGTGGATAATTTTATTCAGCTTTGCTTCATGGATGATAAGGAAGGACCAGGGGTCCTAGAACTACTCAGTTTTTAATCCGTCTTCCAATGGCCCATGTTGTAGAGAGAAAACTCAGAGGTAAGTTACAGCTGAGGACTGGGGCAATGTGTCATATGAAGAGAAAAGAGGAGATAATAAGGAGAGTTTAACCTGGATGAGGGAAAGTGGGAAGTGTTTTTAACAGCTACTAAAGGTATGGAACTTAGGGGACAGAGAGTTATGTCCCAAGAAGACTTCTCAGATGTTTTTGGTGGTACATGATATGAAATCCCTGAGTGATCCAGCTTTAAGGAAACCTACATGAAAGATTGACATTGTTTCAAAGCCTCTAGCATTTAATTTGTGTGTGTGTGTGTGTGTGTGTGTGTGTGTGTGTGTGTGTGTGTGTGTTAGTGTGATGTCATGCTTATACTGAGATATATGCTTATACTGGGGCCACCAGATTTATTAGGGTTACATTGACCAGGTTACTTTCTATTCTTTATTTGGGCCTCTCTTATTGCTGTTTCCCACCAGTCACTAGACTTCATTGTAACTCCATATGTGATTCATATCTCAAGATATACTGGAGTTTCAAATGTGACATCTTACCTTACATTATTTGCATATTGTATTACCTTGTCTCTTCTCTTATATATTAGAGAAGTGGCTGGAGTTACTTTTATTTTCTCTGCAGAGTGCTGTAGTTTGAGATCATGTCTTAGAGTTGGTTACTTCTGAGAATTCCACTGTACATAAATTTTCAGTATCTAGAAATTTCAATTGGCCTCTTTCATCAAGCCACATTCGGAATCAATTTTCAGGAAATTTAGTCACTTTCTAAACTATACAGAAAGTTGGAGAGGGAGGCCATGTAGGGTAGATTTAAGCATCAACCTAATTTTAATTTTTTTAAATACGAGTTTAGATAGAACCAAGTATAATTTGTCAGTCTCCAGTTTTGGCTACAGAAGATTTTTGGTAATTTGTTTCAAAAGATGCATTAAAATGCTTAGAGTCAACCAGGCCCAACCTGGCTTCCATTTTTCTGTCCCATGTCCTCACTGGTTTATTAATTTGGATAGACAGCATGGCCTGATTTTTATATCAGAAGATATACTCACCACACTCATGGAAGAAGGAATCAGGGTCTGTGGACTACCTGGTGAAGGTACATAGTGAAGGGAAGGACAGAGAAGATTTGGGATTTAAAGAACAAGGGATGTCCTATTCATTTGTTTTTAAGGAAAAAGGAAACTGAACATTTGGGTATGCAAAGAAATCAGCAGAAAGTGAAGGATTAAAGGTGGAAATAACCACTGAAGCAAGTTCTGGAGGAGAAAAAGGCAGATTTAATCACAAACCTGGGTGGCCTTGGAGAGGAGGAAGCACATGCCATTCTCAGGGAAAAAGAAGATGGAAGAAATATAAGGCATCCGAATTGAAGGAGTTTCTGACATGACCTTAACTGTCTCTGCATAGTTAAGAAACAGTCAAATGACTGTGAGGGAAGCAAATGCAGGTTTGGGACTGTGAGAAAAATAGAAAAGAGGATAGTGAGTTGTTCAGGAAAAAAGTAAATAAGTTCGTGTCAAGTTTCAGCCACGTTGAGGGCCTAGCTGACAGCCCCATCACTACAAAGCATACTTGTCAGCGTCATCATACAGCAGCCCAGAAGCCAAGTCATGGATGGTTTGAGTCTGCCCAGAATTGGGGACTGGGACATGCCTGTGGTAGAAAGTCAAGCTGTCTTCTTAGGGAATCTCTGGCTGGTGAGTACCAACTAAAATGCTTATCATGGCAGCAGACCAAGGCCAAGAAACTAGAAGTTTGCTGAGGACAGAGAAGTTTTATTAGAATAGAAGGGAAGGCAGAAGTCAAATTCAGGGATGATGACTTCAGGGTTTAATAATACAGAAATGAAGTAGTTTGAAGTGATAATCCCAGTTTTCTTCAATGGAGGTTTGTAAAAGAGACAGGAATACTGAGGTCTGAATATGAAGGAAGTCATCCTTATGAACTTTGCTGTTACCCAGTGTCCAGGCTGGATGACAGGTATTTCCAGGAAGAGAATGGATAACATGAATATGTGACATTTCCTCAACTCAGGTGACCACAAAACTGTTTTTTCTTGCAAGTACCAGTATTCCAGAGATCATACCTTGGAAAACTCTGTTCTAGGGCTCATAATAGACTTTCAGTTAATTGAATGAATGAGTTACAGGTAAGAAGTTAAGAGGCAGCCTAGGAGGGTGTCAAAATAAAGAGGCAAGTATGGTGTCTCCAATTATGGGAATCATTGTGGGCCTAGGCATCCCCCACTCTGGTACTTCCATCTCCTGCACTGCCACCTTCTCTACTGCATCCCTGTCACCTTGCTACCAATTATGGGCCAGGGAGTAAGATTTACTTACTGAGATATATCTCCTTATTACCTATTCCTTTCTTATGTTTGTAGATGGTTCTGTTCTTGCAAATCCCCAAATAGATCTCAATGAAATCAAAGTTACTCTTTGGCAGTGAAGGGTTGGCAAAGAATACCACAACATTTTGAAAGCTCGGGTGCAGAGAGTCCCTGTCCCCGGGTGTCCTGACAGTTTACACATAATATGCGTGTACATATTCCTCACTCCACAGCCTTCATTTCTCTTCCATTTCAGTTGGCTGTGCCTATACCCACCCTCATTTCGTGTCACTCTGACAGTTAGTTAGCAAAGGAGTATAAGGAATCAAACAGTATTTTACAAAGTATCATAGTAAAGTGGTTGGGTAATGATGTGCTGGATTAATGCTGCTTCTGAAAATGGAAAACCAACCCTACCACCACCACCGCCATTCCACCCCCACCTCACTGGGTAACTGGAGGATAGACAGGACAGATATCAGAAAGGTCTTTGTAACAAGAAAAATAGTACAGAACTCTTCACTAAGCAGAGGATTTGGTTAAAGAACATAAAAGACTTGGAATGGCTCTCAAGTATCTGTTGGAGGGGATACCAACTTTGCTGTAATCATGACTTTTGTTGCTTTGTTTCAGAACGCCAGCCAAGCCCCTCCATGGCCAATTCTAATGCCCTCCCTTCAAGTTCAGCTGGGATCAGCAAGGAGCTGATTGATCTGCAGCCTCTCATCCAGTTCCCGGAGGAAGTCGCCAGCATCCTGATGGAACAGGAGCAGAGTATTTACCGCAGGGTCTTGCCGGTCGACTACCTCTGCTTCTTAACCCGGGACTTGGGCACTCCCGAATGCCAGAGGTCCCTGCCCTGCCTCAAAGCGTCCATCTCAGCGTCAATTCTTAGCACTCAGAACGGAGAACACAACGCCCTTGAAGATCTGGTGGTCAGGTTTAATGAGGTAAGAAGCCACTTTTGGATGTCTTGGTATCTGACTCGCCTGTAAGTGATTTTCAAGCATCCTTCCCCTTCTAGGTTCGTCTGTTCCTGATGTGTCTCATTGCCACTCTGTCTTGCCACTTCCATGATGGCTGTTTCCTTTCCCGGCAAGGAGACAGACGTCACATTGCAATCCTTCCTCTCACTGTACCCCAACTTGCCCTTAAGCCTAATTGATTTCACCTCCATTCCATAGCATTACCCAGTCCACCAATCCTAGTCCCTTTGGGCACCCAGAATGCCAATGCCCAGCCCCTTCCTCTCCCCCACCGAACCCGCATTCCCACAGAGGCTTTTAAAACCACATGCCTCAATTTTGAGTTTTGACAACATGATCCCTGACTGCATTCGTATAACCAACCCCCTCACCGGCTCCCATTATCAGGACTCCCTCAGCAGAAACACCTGGGTCAGCAGAGCAGGCGGGAACCATGGGCAATTCATTGAGGGGCAGTGAATCACCTCGGTTCTCTCTCTGCATCCCACAAAGATCCTCAGCCCCAGAAAGTCACTCCAAAGCCTCTGAGACCACATCAGAAGCTGTTCTGAAAAAGACAGGTGTGACTGGAGTCTGGGAATACCTAGGGCAAAGCCATTGTGTGGGGGTCTAGGGACTCACGGGGAGATAAAGAGCCACTGGCTGGCATCCTTGTGGCCCTGGGGGAGGGAGGAGTAGCAGGAAGGAGCAGGGAGTCTCCATGCAGTGCTGGGGTCAGGGCTGACTGCCTTCTTGGGCTTAAAATGCACTTTATCTTAGTAATGTGACCCACACCCTGACTTTTGTATTCTACATTTTGTGTTTTAGACTTAATTTCTTTTGCTTTGAATATTAAATCACAAAATATTAATTGGTATGTTTGTTGGTTGTTAGTTGGCTCAACACAGATACAATAGTTTTCTATTTTGGTAATTTAGTAAACTCTACCTAAATGTTAACAGGATATTCCTATTCTGAGTTATATACATCTCTGATTGACTGAGGATTGACTGAGGATCTGTCAGCCATTGTTACTTAAACACTTTCTGGCCAGGTGGGGTGGCTCATACCTGTAATCCCAGTACTTTAGGAGGGTGAGGCAGGAGGATCGATTGAGGCTGGGAGTTCAAGACCAGCCTAGGCAAAACAGCAAGACCTTGTCTGTACAAATTTAAAAATTAGCGGGGCATGGTGGTACACACCTGTAATCTCTGTGGAGGCTGAGAACAGAGGATCTCTTAGCCCAGAAGTTTAGAGGCTTCAGTGAGCTAGGATTATGTCATTGTACTCCAGCCTGGGTGACAGAGTGAGACGCCGTCTCTAGAAAAAAACACAAAACACTTTCTAACTGGAGCTCACTTTGCAGCCTCCATAGCTTGCCAATCCAAATCCTGATGATGGTTGTAAATGTCAGTGACCTGATAAGGCCCAGTGAATGCAGCAAATGTTAGAGGCTGAGCTCAAGTGATTCTGTGCCCAGACATGCCCTGAACACCAGTCCATCTGGCACTGTTGTGTTATTTTATATGTACCACTTGCTCCTTACAACAACCTTGGGAGACAGATATTGTCATGTCATTAGCCCCATCTTATCAATGGGACTAATTTTCTAATTAATGGGAAATGGAAGTATGTGGAGATGAAGTTATTTTCCCAAGATTACACAAGTGGTAGGTGGCAATTTTGGTTTAAGCCCACATAGTCAGGCCCTGGAGCCTGGGCTTTGAACCACTCTAGGATGCTGCTTCCCACCTGCAGCAGGATTGCACTGGGGGTTGGTGTCTGCTAAAACTGCAGATTCCCAGCCCCACCCCAAACTGAGTAAGACAGAGTCTCTGGGAGTCCACATGAGAGCTTGCAAACCTCACTGCCCCAAAGTTGTTTTTAAAAATAAATCTCCTGATGTTCTTGATTTTCCTTACTGATAAAAATGGGATGGAAAATGAAAGTTCCAGTAAACTGAGTGATTTTATTAGTGGATTTCACTGTATTTCACGAATTATTTTAAACTTCCAGATCTACCCACTCTCACATCCTTAGGATTCTATCTTATCTTTTTTTAATTTTTAAATTTCCACCTGAATTTGAAAGTGAATTGCCAAAACTTAAAGTCTAATTTTAAATTAAACTTGGATTTCTTCCATTCACTTCCATAACCTTAGGAATCAAAGACGAGTCAGTGATTTCATTAATTCAGAGTTAGTGATGCTATGACCTACAGCTGGGTAGAGGCAGGCTTTGGACTATCTCTGAAAATAGTTTAGCTAAGCAACTTCAGAACGTAAACAAGATTTCTGGGAAAACACTTAAGCTACTTAAGAGAACAGTCTGTTTCAAGTATTCTCAAGCATCTATTTTCATACGAATTATGGGTATGCTGATTAAAAATCAGTCTCATATAGTCAGATCCCAAATGATCTCTACTAGATGAGACTGGAATAGCTAAATTCTAGTTCTTTGTATATCTTTAAAAAGTTTCATTACATCAAAAGAGAATTTTCAAATTTAGATTTTCACTGATTTCTAATGGCCTTGCCTTCAAATTAGCATGGCTTTACATACTATAAAAAAAGGAAGAAATGGAGTTTGCATTTATTTAATAGATGCTCTGGACTAGATATTACATTTTCACATTTTAAAAAATCTCATTCAATTCTTATGACAGTTGTCATTATCCCTGTCTTGCAGATGAAGAAAGTGAAGCTTAGATAACAAAATTAATAATGATAGTGCTGAATTATGGCCCACAGAGTAAAGTAAATATTCTTGAGTTCATACTGTTGTAAATAAGTCAGTGTGGTGGAGATGAGGAGTAGGGACAGCACTTACAGAAAATTTCAATTAATAAATGTAGAAAGAATGAGAAAAATAGAAAATCATCATTAGAACACTACAGTAATAACTGTGGCAGGCAAGGACCACTGATGAATTCTAAAATTATTGGGCAAAAGTAACTTTGATGAGAAATAAGATACTTGCAAATAGTCTCACAGCATCTCTCCACAAGATGTTTATCAATACAAACGGAAAATAGAACAATGAAGAAACCTGGTAGACACTGGCTTGACCAAGTGATCCAGGCTAACATGATCAGTAAGGAGACGTATCAACATACACCTCCAGATATGATGCCCTGAGAAAGGCAGGACTTATCTCTATGATGTTCTTGCCAAAAACACACAACATGAATCTAGTAATGAAAAAAATATCAGACAAATCTAAATCAAAGGACATTCTACTCTTCAAAAGTGTCAAGGTTATAAAAGGTAAGAAAAAATTGAGTAACTGTCAAAGACGAGAGGAGACCAAGAGACATGACAATTAAATGCAATGTGGGATCCTAGCGGATCCTGGACAAGAAAAAGACATTAATGGAAAAACTGGAGAAACTCTGAGGCTTATAGCTTAGTTAGTATGATTGTATCAATGTTAATTTCCTGGTTTTGACAACTGTGCTATGATTATGAAAGATTCTAACATTAGAGGAAGCTGGGTGAAGGGTGTACAAGAACTCTTTGTACTGTCTTTTGCAACTTTTCTGTAAATCTAAAATTACTTCAAAATTAAAAAAAAAATTTTTTTAAGCAGTGAGCTGAGAGAGAGTGAGTCACTTGTCTGAGTGGATATTAGAATCCAGATCTTTTTTCAAAGTCTAGCTCTTCTTACCCAGCTGCTTCTTTCTTGTTAAATTATCAGGTTCAAGTCTGTAGTAAAATCCGACTTGCTAATTGAGAATTATTTAATTAGCCTTGGGTCTCTTTTCCATCTTCCCTCCCTCTGTTTCTACTTCTTTTCTAAACCTTCTGTGTGTTTATCGTTTTTCTACTTATCTTTCTGTTTCTATTTTTATCCGATTTCCCATTATTTAGGTTTCTGCCATCACTCCCTCACTCATTCATTCATTCATTCACTCATTTGTTTTTTTGAATTTTTAGTTTTAATTTTTTGTGGATACACAGTATGTGTATATCTTCATGGGATATAAGGTATATTTTGGTACAGGCCTACAATGGTAATCACATCAGAGTCAATAAGATATCCATCACCTCAAGCATTTATCTGTTGTATTAAAAACAATCCAATTACACTCCTTTTGTTATTTTTAAATGTACAATTAAATTATTATTGACTGCAGTCACTGTTGTGCTATCAAATACAAGATCTTACATTTTTTCTAAATATTGTATGTATGCATCAATTATCCCCACTTCCTCCCTCACTCCACTCTATTACCTTTCCCAGCCTGTGGTAACCATTCTTCTACTCTTGGTCTCCATGAGTTCAATTGTTTTAATTTTAGCTCCCACAAATAAGTGAGAACACACAGAGGTTATCTTTCTGTGCCTAGCTTATTTCACTTAACATAGTGACCTTCAGTTCAATTCATGTTGTTGCAAATGACAGGATCTCATTCTTTTTTATTGTTGGAAGTGTTTATAGACTACATTTTCTTATCTATTCATCGTGTTGATGGACACTTAGGTTGCTTCCAAATCTTGGCTACTGTGCGTAGTGCTGAAATAAACATGGGAGTGTGGTTATCTCTTCGATATATTGATTTTCTTTCTTCAGGCTATATACCTAGAAGTAGGATTGCTAGATCACTAAGGACATACTTACTGGCCGGGCACAGTAGCTTATGTTTATAATCCCAGCACTCTGGGAGGCCGAGGTGGACAGACCGCTTGAGCCCAGGAGTTTGAGACCAGCCTGGGAAACATAGCAAAACCCCATCTCTACAAAAAGTATGAAAAATTAGCCGGGCATGGTGGCACATGCCTGTGGTCCCAGCTACTTGGGTGTCTGAGGTGGGAGGATTGCCTGGGCTGCAGTGAGCCAAGATTGTGCTACTGCACTTCAGCCTGAGTGACGGAGTGAGACCTGTCTCAAAGAACAGACACATTCTACACAGAGTACCTACTGTGCTCTAACTTTCTCTTTTTTCCCATTGGCATGTCAAACATGTTTTTTAAAAATAAAAAATT